AGAAGACTAGTTAGTATAGTTAGTTAGAAAGCAAAGTACTTTGCTTTCTAAACAGACAAAGCTCTGAGCTCATGCCATCTTTGAGTTGGCAACTGATGCAACTCATTGAGAAAGGCATAATGGAAGGTTCTCATTGATCATTTGAAGAGAAGAGTTATCTCCCATGAAAACAGAGTTATGACTGTGCCAAAGCACAAAATGAGCAGACATGAAATTTAGGGACTAAAACAGATTAGATTTCTGTGAACTACCCTGATCTTTCCAGTATGACAAACTAAACCATTGGACTCAAACACCCTTTGACTCAGTATTCTTGGAGGCAAATCTATTCTTCATGCAATGCAATAAACATGTTTCCCTTTTAGGCTTTTTATATTATCATACTAATTGTCTTTTTTTATTTTTTTTTTTCTGAATAAGAAAATGAAGCCATGTCAAATTAACAGACCTTCATCATACAGCAAAAAAGGAATTCATCTTTCTGTTGAGCAGCTGAGCAGTCGTACAGTTTCAGCAAATTTATTTTTTATTCTTCTTCTTTAAATTCCTGCCATCTTTTGACCTTGTCCTAATCTCTCTCGAACTCAACCTTTATAAAGAACAGAGAGTTCTGTTTTGCTATCTGGAGTTTTGCATCACTACTCATTTTTTAGCAGTGCATCCTGTTGATATGCTATGAATCAGCTGATTTTCTATCTGAATATTTTTGGTACTTTCTTAGCAGCTCATCTAACATCAGACACTGGGTCTAAAAATCTCTGAGCTCAAGCTTGAGGTGTTGCTCATTTTCAATGGGTTTTGCGTTTCCTTAACATTAAAAACTCTCTGGCCACATAGGCCTTAAATAAATACCCCATGCTGACATTAGAAGTAAATGCATATAATTTAAATCAAGATATAAGGTATTCTTGGGAAAGTTGGACATTGAACATTGCATCAGCTGCTCATATCATTGGATCTTTGGGCCCTCTGTTGCATGTTGCAGCACCAGCCTCTTCCTTACACTCTGTTGAGCACCATGGGCACAAACTTTCCCTTACTGTCAGAGCAGGACCTTGCTGCCTTGCTTGTGGTGTGGTGCTCTGTTATCTTAAGGGCTGTATTTGTCAGGACTCCAACCATGTGGACACTTGGGATCTTCTGTCGATCTCTCCAAGAACAGGTGCCCATGATTTCAGTTTTCAAAACACCACTGTGTTTACCTGTTTAATTCTGCACACTTAATTTGTCTCTAGTTGCTTGCTTTCGCTTATACACATATATTTCCTTCCTCCTGTTCTGTATTCCCAGGTTTTGAAGGTTCAGGGCTCTGCTGGCAGTGAGTATTGCATCTCTGAGTTACAGAAACTGCTTTTAATCTGTGCCACCACTTTTCTTGTGATTTGGCTTGTTAAACAGCACTTCCATCGCAGTAACACTTGCACCTGTTCACTTCTGCACGGACTTGTTGTATTTGTAAGTAATTTTTTTCTATTCCATCACGGCTTCAATTCCCAGTTAACATTTCAGTCTCACTTCCTTGCTGGGGTGCTGTCAGCTCACCAGACTCCATCCTCCAGGTTGTGTTTCCTCCGTTCTGACATCTGACTGCTTTAGTCAACCCCTGTCATCCCTTGCACCCTTTGCAATGAGGATCAATGTGAGGCTGGCCTTTTAGCAGTGTTCTGATGAATGGAATATGACTTGCATTTCACTCTTGATGCAATTCAGGAGACAGCAGTTTGAGATACTGGCAAACTTGGCAATAAAATGCCAATTAGCTTTGACTTAACACAGTGTAATAACACAGTGCTTGAAATGCCCAATATTCTCCTAACTTTTCTCTTTCCTGTTATTGAATTGCATCCATTTAGACCCATTATGTCCTCTTGATAAAGAGATTATGCAGTCCACTCCCTCTGTGCTCACTCCATGGTTCTCAGGGGGATTTCACAGGCTCTTCTGAGCTCCACTCCTTTGTAACCAGCTGCTCTGACACAAGAACCAGCTCACTTACAGCAAACTCTGACATATCCGTCCTCCAGCACACAACAGAATGAATCTGAGGCATCATCTACCGACAGAAACAAGTTACAACCAGGGAAATTCCAACTGAATATTAGGAAAAGATAAAAAGGAGCATGAAATATACTGGGACGGGCATCCCTGGAATGGTTGTGGAGTCTCCACCCTTGGAGGTGCACAAAACTTGAATGAATTGGCTCTGAGCAAACAGATCTAACTCTGAGGTTGGCCCTGCTTTAAGCAGGGGTTTGGGTTGGTGACCTCCTGAGGTTCTTGCCAACAAAAAAGACAGGATTCTGTTGTAAAAATAGTGCAAATCCAACATGAAAACAGTTGCGATATGAATATATTTATTTCTTATTTGCCTGCCTCAACTAAAATACCCATGGAGTGGGAGAGATTCAGTCTCTCTAACTAGACATCTAATTTAGGCATGTGAATCAACCTCTGAAGTTTCTATTTTAACTGTACCGTAAATTTGGGTGTCTGAGCACAGATGCTGCTGACTGCTGCTGAGATACATCAACAGCACAAAGCAGATGGAAAAAACACTCCAATCTTCCCCCTTACTGGGCAGTCATATTTCAAGCTACATCTCTAACATTACATTAGAATTGTACCTGATGTGACAGCCTTAAGTTCAACCATAATCAAACCCCACAACATGGACTATGAAAAAGGCCATTTAGGAGTCACAGGATACTTGAAAGCATGGCTGTCCTCTTCCTAAATTCAGGCAAAATGAAATCCTTCTTCTTGTTATTACATTGCCACAGATAAAACAGTCTGTGCAAAGCTACATATGCTTTGACTGTAGTGCCCCACTTCTATGGCCTGCCTCTATCTCTAAAAAGCAGTTTGTATATCACCAAGTCATTTCTCCGATGGTAAATTCACAGTCATTTAATTTCTTGTAATTTCATTCTCCTCTCTCACCCCCACCCCTGCTTCACGAGCTCATTTTTAGTTTAAATCAATGGCTTTTATTTATTTATTTGTTTTTTGGTACATATAAGCCAGAGCTCTGGAAAGTGTCTTACATGGGGATAAATACTGATTTGGGCTCCAGAGCAAACTGTTTGGCACCAGCTGATATGTTTGCATAATTCAGCCCAACTCCCAGCACACTGGTTTGTTACACCACATTTTTGCGTTTGGGATTTGGACTTATCCCATTGAGTGCTAATGCTAGAGGACAATTGAAGAAAACCAGAAGTGGAAGTTTGCTGGAGGAAAAGAAAAGGCCACTATATAACATTCATTACGTGTGAGTAGTTTGCTATGGTGCAAGGAAAAATGCACGGTTTCCATCATGATCGTGGAATGAATTGTGAATAAGAGCATCCTGGAGTCCTAGAAAATGGCTTTTCTAATTCATGGAATTCAGTAACGGAGGAAAGGCGTTTTGTCTTGTAACTAGATCTTTGTAGCAAGAAGAAAGCTTAAAAGTTAGGTTACCTTTTAATTTAGCAGAGCTTTCACTGGATTACAGCTTTGAAAATCTGTTTGGAAACTAGCGATAGCACTATTGTGCTAACGAAAGCACTACAGTTTCACAGAGCTCATTTCATAGTTGTGGCCATTACGTTCTTATGCTTACTAGCCTAAGAAGAACGATCCACTTATCCATCCCCTAAAATCACCACTTTGTTACAGAAGAGAGGAAGAAAATACAGAAATGAGGCCTGAGAAGGTGAAGCTCATGCAGCCTGGAAGGGCTTCGTGCTCACCGAAGCACAGGACTATACAGAGTCTTAAACAAATCCCTGTATTTTCTTACACCACATCTCTTTTGAAAGCAAATATTTCCAAAGGTAAGACAAAGATTCCTTCCCTCCTATGCCATCTGGCTACACTGGGAGGGCTGTTTTATGATTACCATAAAGCGCGAGCTCAAGTAATAAGCTTTCTAATGGGGCTTTTTGATTATGTCAATACTTTGATGGAATCTGAGGAGTGAGAGGGCAAGGGTCAGTTTGCTATTTGGTAAATCCAGGAATTTACTCATTAAAAAAAAGAGCTTTATGTTTACCAAGTCAAATATTTGAAAATTAGAAAATACCAGAAAGAAAGCTTGTTTGTATAATCTAAATTGCCCTTTTTTTTTTTCCTGTGAAAAACAGAATATTGAATTACATCGTGACATGTGTACTTTTTGCCACCAGGCCCCATTCTGTACAGTACACAGAGCAGACAATGCCTGCTGAACAAGTAGCTGTAATAGTTTTAATCTTCATTGTTCGGTGTGTGCTGAGCAGCCTTACTTACTGAATACAACTGAAAATTTCAAAAAGGCCTTTTTATTTCTCTTTTCAGATCGAAATGGAAGTAATCTCTCGTTTTCAAGTTGCAAAGTATTTGTATGAATGAAGCAAATATAGCTTCACCTTGTCATCTTAGATGACGGGACGTTATCTGCATTACAGAAGGGATCTCAGAAATGTACAAATTAAGTTAAAATGTATCACATAATTTTTAACATCCCATCTGCTATGACAGAGACCCTCTTTTAGGAACAATTTTTGCATCACAAACATATTCTCTGGTAATATTAGTACAATTGTTAGGGCTTATTACCTAAAGGTAATCAGTTCAAACAGCAGTTTTTGCATTTGATAAGCCTTGAAGTGTTGAAGCATTTGATTTCTCAGCCTTACTAACATTTTTCATTTGGCATGTGTACAGCATCACTGAAAGTCTCTTATTGACAGGATGCTACTAAACATATACTGTAGAGAACAAATAATACGAAACGAGGCCTCACTGCAAAGTGTTTTTGGTGTTTTCATCCAAAAGTTGAAAATGTCCTTCGCTGCTGTTCTACTCTGCCTCAGCATTAGAGTGCTGCTCTTCTCCGAGGAAGCTGTAGGAGCTATGAAAGTGAACATGTGCCTTGTAATGCCTTGAGACATTAGGCAAAGGCTTTGTACAAATGCTTGCCCCCAGCATGCCACTGTTCAGGAATCACACTTAAACTTCTGCTGTTTGAAGAAGGAAACTAACAAACAAACAGACAAACAAATCCTAGCCTCAAAGGTCTAGACAAAACACGAATGAACTAAACTGCACTGGCACAGGTTGCCCAAGGAGGCTGTGGATGCCCCAGCCCTGCAGGCATTCAAGGCCAGGCTGGATGTGGCTCTGGGCAGCCTGGGCTGCTGGTTGGTGACCTGCACACAGCAGGGGTTTGGAACTGATGAGCACTGTGCTCCTTTGCAACCCAGGCCGTTCTGTGATTCTATGATACACAGTAGTTGAGTAGACACATGCAGTTGTTCCCAATCTTCAGCCTCCTCTCCTGAACATCTTCTATGCGTTTGTGGGTTTCACAGCCCAGATACCCACTAGCAGTTATTAACAGTATCCATAACATCAGCACCAAGAGAGCATTAGTAATATTGGCCATTTTACGTTAACTCTTGAGAATGCAATCTTCAAGAACTTATTTCTTATTCTCAGAATTTTGCAGGAATACTTGAAATCATTGTCCTTATATTATTCAATGAGACTCTAGGTCAACAGCTACAAAAAAAGGTGAAAATTACTATGCTGTAGCAAGGTCATGGTGAAGTAACATCCAGAAGCAAAAAAATCGCTTCACACACAGCATAGATTATGAACCAGCTGCCCAGCAGTGTATAAGTCATCCACCCAAATCCAAACCCAGAAGTAAAGCTCTAATGCTCTGCCTTTCAGATGGAACAAGGTCAGTGATCTCTCTCAATCTGCATCTCACTCAACCTCAACTCTCTCGTACTGAACACTAAAGAAAATCATTTCCAAGAGATTGTAGGCACTAAGAGAATAAAATATGAGCCTAGCATGCCAAATCCCATTAAGACTATACATTCAGAGGGTCAGACTTCCTTTCCCTGGAAAATGTGATACTAAAGAGTTAGTGCCCACTCTATAAGAAAGAGGGAAGACTCTGTACAACAAACCATCCCACATCTAATTCTGCTTCCACTTGGTGCAGGTTTGTGAGTTCAGCAGTCACAAAGACTGCTCTGGTGCTCAAAAACTCACAATTCACAAAAATAGATCATAGACATTTGTTAAATAAAAAATGTGATTGAAAAGCTGGAGCTCATCAATTCTGGAATGCTAGACAGATCCGTGTATTATTAGGATAGTTAGGAAAACTTGAGAGAATTTGGATGTTTTAATACATTACATCAACTGTCATTACTGCGAGTGTTGGTATTTTAGTTTGGGAGCTGACAAAGATTTTTAAGAGCTTTTTTTCATATGAACATATTTCTAGCAAAGTGTATGTCTGGAAAAGATTCTCGCTGTCCTTGAAACAATCAGTGAATGAATATAATTTTACAAAGTAAAAGAGGAATACACTTGTAATTCTGAGTACAGAAACGAGAGCAAAGCCACAGGAATTCTGCAACGTGGTTATGTTTTTCCCTTGAGCAAGTAATTTCACTTAATTCTTATTTTTCTGTTGACAAAAAGGGAATCGCTTACTTCAAAAACATGCTGCAAGGATTATCTGGAAGAAACGCTAAGACAATTATTGAGGTAAATACCATCAGTGTGTAGTAAAAAGTCCTCGTGGTGGAGAGTGCTCTGCAGACCTCGGCAATCTTGAAACTGAAGATTCAGCATTGCTAATGTAGTGAGACTGGAAAGGTCATTACACTGCAAAGCTGGCATTATTTTCATATTTGGCATAAGGAAAGATTGCCTCTATTGCACATTTGCCTAGATGAGTATTGATTTGGCCTCTCTGATTACGAATGGAACCTAAACTGATTACAAAATAATTAAGAGTAAATCTGCATGAAAGGGTCTATTTTTTTCCTTCTCGGCCCGTTAACTTGATGTGGCATGAATGAGTTTGATTGCAAGTTTGCCGCTGACTTGCAAAAGCAGGCACCGAGGCCAGAAGTTGTCACTGCTGATTGAACTACAAACGGTGACAATAAAAGTCTCTACTCACACTGTTTCTCAAGTACGAAAATCTCTGCCATCACTAGTTCCTTAGAGAAATACCAAAAAAAAATAGGAATGGCTTCTTAAGGAAATACTCCCTTATTACATCTGGCCTTTGCCTTGAAGCTGTGCTGCTTAGTGTAGTTCTGTTAATCCCTGTAATGGCTTGCTTAACGCCTGGGTTTGCACAGATTTGCAGACCACATTCCCAAATTCACCCCCTGCTCCCCATATTTCCCCTGGATTTGCCACGCTGTCAGAGTTTCCCAACCCTCTCTTTCACATCTTCTATCTGCAGTTGTACGACATGCTGGCTACACCGGGGCTCAGTCATCATCTGACTGCTGTATGTATCAGAAAGACAGGAACATGTGTATATAGAGATAAGAACATGTGTGTACGTATCTCTATCTAACAGTATATATCAGAATATTTAATTTTCTATTTAAGACTATGCATCTCAGAATGGTAGAATTCGAGCTAAGTGGGAAGCCTGCGTCTTTCTGATAGGCAGCTAAAGATCTTTCACAGAACTTGTAGGAACTTCATGTCTTTGAAAATGCTGCTTATCTTGTTGGCTGCACAAGTTGGCTGCCCTTCCACAAAAGGCAGGAGCGGTGGGACGGCGTAAAGGAACAGCCCAGCGTTAGAAATGGTGGCACAGGCACAGCCAACATAGGTGGCTTTTTCTGATGTCAGGTCTCACAACAGACACAAGCCCAGACAGAATGTTGTGTATCAAGGCGGTGTTGCAGGTTCCACTTTGCACTGGGCCATAAATGGCACCATGAGATGTTTGCCACCAGTTTGTCCTTTGGCTTGAAGGGCAGCAAAGCCACTACTGCTAACAAGTGAGAGTAGGAGTTCCTGTGTTGCTATGTGAAGGCAGCAGTGGCAGCCAGCTCTGAGTCCTTTCCCTTCATCCCTCATCCTCCCTTTATGAGAGGTGCCTTGCAAGGAGGACTTCTGTGCTTCCAATTCTTTCAAGGTCTGAAGGATAAGTTTAGGTGGCCGGTGAGACAGGTAATGCCTGTGCCTTAGTTCTGCCTCAGACATCACCTTCTATCTTACAGAATAGTGATCAGTGATCTTGCTTGGCATCATTCAGTTTTTTACCCTGTGTTTTCACCGTATGGCAGTAAGAACTTTTAGATGCTCTGAAAAACAGGGAACACTTCAAACTGGTTCCCTGAACAGGTTGACCCCATCTGCTGCAGTAAGGCAGGATATGGCCCCCACATGTCACATGTTTTCCTATGTAGCCAAGGAAGAAGGCTCTCACATTTCACATGTTTGGTATTGCAAAGTATTTGTAGATTAAGAACACTTTATAATTACCATTTGTTGCAGCTTTGTGTACCAGTGATGTTTACGCTGTGACGAAAGACCTTTCTTCCTACTTGATTAAAAAGACATTTGCTCCATGGGAAGGATTAAATGCGATGTACTTGGAGAAGAAAACAAGCCAGCACTGGATGCAATGTGTACTTGGGGTGCCTGAAGAAGAAAGGCCAAGATTTCTTGAAGATACTGTAGTCCAAACAACTACTGGCAAATACCCTTTGGGCCAATGCTTCTGTAGATCTTATGGGGCATTCAAGAAAAAACAATAATCCTTATTGCTGCCAGTGGCTTAGAATGGTAGCTCACAGAAAACGAGGGAAAGAGAAGGAGTGCAGTGGGGAAATAGGAGTGACAGGAAACATTTTTGTGTGATCTAGGTGCAGTAGACTTGAATTCAAGATTTAATTTTTCCTCTGAGCACAGAGAGGAAAGGAAGCTTAGATGGAAAGAAAGCACAGTCACATAATGAGTTACTGTTTAATGATAATGGGAGTACTGCAGTGCATGTTCCGTAAATCAAATATTCTCCAATTAAACAAAAACATTTCATTCCTCCTTCCACCAAAGCCTGGAAAGCAGACAAGGAAAGCAGAGCTTGGCCTATTCCAAAAGTAGAACTGGATCTAGAGAGTGTGTGTAACCTGGAACCCCAGTTCATAGGATGGATCAGTCAATGGAATGCAGTCAGGCTGCTGGCCCAAGAAGTTGCAATGAAAAGCTTCTCTTGGCCTTTTAGGTTGTCTGCATTTAAAACCCACAGATGACACATCCCTCCCTTTTAAATTGATGATGGTTCGCTTCAGTGATTTCAAACCTATGTCGAAGTGTTCTGCTCCTGTCATGGGGTTTTCCCCTCGGCTGCAAGGCGAGCGTTCTTATCTGAGTGGCGATTGTAAAGATGCAAAAAGACAACTACACAAAGATGGTTTTATTTAAAGACATAAAGGAATAAATCGTATTTTAATTGCTTCTACAAGAGGAGCTCAAGTAGGCCGACTCCATTTTTCAAACACAAGTAATTGTAGTGCCGTCCTGCCACGTTGCAGTGTGATTCTTGTGCTCATCTGGAATGTATTTGCTACAAAAATGTCATTGAAATGGCAAAAGACAAAACAGAAAAAAAAAACTGCACACTTCTCAGGCGTGAAACTTCAAGCTTTAATTATTTTAAGCTTAAACAACGATCCTTTTGCTCCACCTCTCAGGATGGTGTCACATTTCCTTTTGCCTGTGTTGAAGACACAAAAATACTTGGGATATGCTGCTGGGAGGCCTTGCAGTATTGGTGACCTCTGCACTGGGATCCGTTTCCAAATGTTTGGTTGTATCAGAAGAGTTAAGCCATTTTGCTAAATTTTGCTTGTTTCTTTAAGCTACATTCACCAACAATCAATAGGGAGGAATTAAAATGCAAACAATTTACAAGGAACTTTTTGATATATCTGACATTGAGGTTTGTTTGGTTTATCTATCACTCTTTTTTCTTTGTGAGTATTGAGATAAATCTTGGCTGGCATCTGTTAATCTATAACATGGATTCAAGTTTCATGTGTGAAGCAGAGGCATACACAGCACTTATGAAAAAGGAAATTAAGAAAAAAAAATAGACAACACTGCAGCTATTGGAAAAAGCTGTGAAAGTCATTAGCCCAAATTCTCAGAGAGGCAGAAAGCTGTAGGGTTGTTGTCTGGATGATGCTCACAGCTTTGCGGACTTTATTCTTGGGAAGGTGCTTTTGTTTTGGCAGAGGGTTCGGCCTGGGCTCGGATGAGCGTCACGTCAAAGGGTTTCTGTAAGGCACCCGTAAGGTACCAGACTGAAGTAGTTGACAAGTGTGGAACAGTGATCCTGGCCTACTTCTGCAGCCTTCTTCCAGGGACATCCTCTGTGGAGCAGCATCCGCTTTCTCGAGGCAGCCAGCTACACTTGTCAGCTGTTCTGTATACCATCACCCACATGATGCCTCATGCTCAGCTTAGGGCTTTTAGCAATAAGCAGAACACTGAACTGAAGGCCACGCACAGAGATCTATTTACTTCTGTCCTAATAAGACAAATATAAAATTAGACAGTGATAGGACAAGGGAGAAATGGTTTTGAGCTCAAGTAGGAAAGGCTAGATTGCATGTCAGGGGGAAGTTCCTTACAGTGAGAGTGGTGAGGTGCTGGAACAGCTGCCCAGAGCAGCTGTGAATGCCCCGTCCCTGGAGGTGATCAAGGCCAGGATGGATGGAGCCCTGGGCAGCCTGGTCTGCTGCCAGATCTGGAGTTAGTGGCCCTGTCTGTGGCAGGGGCTTGGAATTGATGATCCCTGAGTCCCTTCCAACCCAAGGCATTCTATGATTCAATGATACTACGATTTGGTACTGAAGTTACCTTCCACAGTTAAGTACAAAACACCAACATGAAGCACTTGGTCTTATTTTCTCTCCAACCAGAGCACAGTTTCTTTGATGGCAGTTCTGTATGTCTGTTCTGCCTGATCCCTACAGACACTCAGAAGCATTTGTGAATCCCAGTGTGGGATTCCACGATAGGAGGTAAACAGCTTTGTGTGTGCTGAGCAGTGAAAATTGGCAGCAGGCACTGTCTGAGGAGCCAAGAAACTAAATGTTTCATAGCTACCTATTCTTCTTCCTGCTTATCTTAAAGACTTCCAGGGACTTGGGATGCTCTGCAGTGTATGTGATTAACTCGAAGTCCCAAACCCAGCATTTGAAGGGGAAAATGTTCCAACTGCTTACATGCCCTTTCATCACTCTGACAGTTCATGTATTTCCTACAGAGCCCAGCAGGTGCTCAGAAAAACACAGAACTCCATTAGCTGACCATACCTGCTGGTATTTTTTAAACAAGGGGTGGCTTACACGGTCTCTTGAAATCAACCTCTGGGGGAATGGTTTTAAACTGAGGCAGGGGAGGTTTAGGTTGGATATTAGGAGTGAGTTTTTCAGCCAGAGGGTGGTGAGGCTCTGGCACAGGTTGCCCAAGGAGGCTGTGGATGCCCCATCCCTGCAGGCATTCAAGGCCAGGCTGATGTGGCTCTGGGCAGCCTGGGCTGCTGGTTGGTGACCTGCACACAGCAGGGGGTTGGAACTGATGAGCACTGTGCTCCTTTGCAACCCAGGCCATTCTGTGATTCTACGATACTGCTCCCTTGGTATCTAAGCAGAGGTGGAGGTTCATAAACTGCCTTAGACATTCAAAGTTGTAGCACAAGTTAACAGAACTTGAATAAATCTTGTTACTATAGCTGTTACAGGGGGAGTAGCTCTAAATGTTGAAGTGGCCAAGGGCAACAGCAAATGCTCAAGAAGTTGACAAAGGCTCCAGGAAGTGATACTGGTATCTTGGTGCGATGCTATCTTTCATTTCGGTAATGGACACGTGCTGCCTCCACACTAGGAAACAACATGGCCTCTTGTGGTTAAGGAAGGTAACGAAAGGATGCTATGTTATCAGAAGCAAATTCTAGCTCAGGGAGAGGACAGCCCCATTCCTCTGTTGCTTCCAAAATACAATGCTGACTGCTCCATCCCCAAACACTTTCTGGAAAGCTGTTCTCCCCAAAGACTTCTAGTGAAGGTCCATACAATGTTTGCATCCACGTTCTGAACCAAAGATAGTGTGTATGTTTTTCATCCATGCTGCACAGAAATGAACTCCGCTTATTTACAAAGAGTTAGAATGAATGACGGAACTGATCTAATTCTGTAATAGACATCTCAATCACAATTGTCTCTTAGTCACCATCTTGACAGAGAAGAGTCTGCATTGTCACTCTCTGCCAACCACATCCATATCACGCTTTTTAAATTGGTGGCCTCAGTGATCCTTCTCTACCCTCATCTTAGCTGAGAGATGTGGGACAGCTGAGCCATGACACTCAGAAAGGTGTGGAAGCCTTTCTTCCAGCACTCCTGGCTGCTCAGAAGAGCAGTCTGGTCACACTGCACAGTGAGCAATGGGGCTGGGAGCTGAAGCAGGAATGCTGTCAGGAGTGGCCACACAGCTGGGAGTCCTGTGTGTGCATTTCCCTCTTGGCTAAAGGCTGACTTTTGCTTTTGGATGGATTTTACACCCCTCTGATATTTACAGATTGCCCAGCATACATTGGTTTCTGACTGTTCTACCGTGCCCAGACCTACATGATATGCTGTTTAAATACAAGACCTTGGGTTGGAAATCTGCCCTCTGTGTACCGAGAGAGCAGCACAGCAGGACGTGGACATGCAGAGAACTGCTCTGTGCCCTGAGCCCCCAAAGTCACACAGGGCTCCAGCACAGACCAGACATCTCTGTTTCCACCCAGTTTAAATGAGTCTGGAGAGCAGACACATGGGGCATCTGGGGATCCCATTCTGCCAGCTCCTCCCGGTGGTGAAAAAGAAGTAAAGCACAACGCAGCTGGCTGTTATCTTGACATTTTGCTCCAGGGAGAACTTAATCAACTCTGCTTCCCTCAGACTTTCCTGGCACTATCTGAACCACCCGAGCAGCCCCTTCACCTGCTAGCTCTGAGCATGGCCTCAGACTGGCAAACAAGGGATGCTTGAGATGTAATTGAATTAAAAACACGGGTGGTGGATGGATGGATGGCTAGAGATGTTCCCAACCTTAGCATCCTTTGACTCCTTTTGACTACCACGTTTGGCAGCTCAACAACAAAAACAAACTCTTTCTCCAGGCTGATGGCTTTCGTGGTCAAAAGCTAGAAGAGCACCCACCACCTCCTGCGTGGATTGAAGAGCACAGTCCATAGAAGAGTGTGCAGCTCAGCTCCACACACAGGCAGCAATTCCATGTCCCAGAGGCCACAGTGAACCATGCACAGGGGAACGCTGCAATCAGCAATGAAAAGCCTCTTAGATATGATGGCTTCTAGCACTTTTCACAGTAGATTTAGAAATCACTCTGCTTTGAAACCACTGGCAGCCTCATCCACAGCGCAACTAAGAGGAAAGCACTGTCTGCTTTGCCTTGATCCATCTCTAACCTGGCTTCTGAATTTGTAAGGAGTGAATGCCATCTAGTTCTCATAGAAGTGACCTCAGAGTAGAGTTATACGTTTACAAGAGAGGAATTTATTTCCTTACAGAGATTTGAAAAGATTCCTATTAGCTCAAAGTGTCATATTTGCACACTTGTCTTATCCCACCAGTGAGGAGAGGGAAGCAGTGTCTCTGCAACTCCCTGAGAGGAGGCTGTGAACAGGTAGGAGTTGATCTCTTCTTCTGGATGACAGCAATAGGATGAGATGTGATGTCTTCAAGCTGTACCAGGGAGGTTCAGGTTGGGTATTAGGAAACATTTCTTCTCCAAAAGAGCAGTAATGCATTGGCCCAGGCTGCCCAGGGAGGTGAGGAAGTCACCATCTCTGGAGGTGTTCAAGAACTGGGGAGATGTGGCACCGAGGGACATAATTAGTGGCATGGGAGGGAGAGTTGGTGGTTGGACTAGGTCATCTTCATGGTCTTTTCCAACCTTTAGGTTTTTGTGATTCTATTTCGTAATGGAAACTTATCCCCAAGCAGTACTTCCTTAGGTGGAGGAGAGATGTTTCTGGGCTGATTCCTCTGATTCCTTTTCTTTCATTCTTGGGGCAAGGACATAGCTATCCCATCAGGGAGACCTTGCTGGGAGTGGGCATGGTCTGATGGTTGGACTAGATGATCTTAGTGCTCTTTTCTAACCTATGAGCTTAAGAGACTTCCTTTCACTTTAAGGGCCCAAAATAAAGACCAGGGCTTGAACTCTTCACGCTGAGAGTGAGCAGAGGCAGTAAGGGGCAAAAAATGCCAAAATCACAACAGTGCTGAAATGAAGTGGGACACAATGCCTCCTGGTAGAACTTCTCATTTACTTGTGGGGAGGAGTGGCTGAACACATTGGAGAGAACTTTAATTTTTTTTTTTTTTTTTTTTTGCAAGACAATGAAAACACGCTTCCAACTGCACTCATTTTATACTTCACATCAGAGCATTTCCTGGGGCTCTTGCCAACCTTTCCTTTATTTCACTTCCTCTTCTTCAACCAATAAATCATCACGAATCCCATCTCCATTTCTATGTCCATTACTGCAGCTCCTCTCAGCCCAGCGGAAGGTCTGTGCTATGAAGTCGTAGATACCTCTACGCTGTGCTCTCTTATTTTGGAAATAAAATTTCCAATTGATTTTGAAAACATCTGCCTGGAGCACGAAAGACTGGTTGACACACAGCATGTCCTATAGCAGTGTCCTGGCAGAGATGTTCTCAGATAATGTCCCTTCATTAGGACAGTGCAGGAAAAAAAAAAAAAAGGAATAAAAATTACAAATGATAAGGTAAAAATCATTGCATTTTCCATACATAGACTATACTTTGCTACTGATTTAACTTTACATTTCAAGTCAATGTCCCAAGGAATGGAGAATGTCAGAAAAGAATGAATGCAGGTAGCAAGAGGTGATCACCAAAACTTATGGTAGCGATCACAACTTTAAGTTCTCTGTGGCAGTGCAGCACACCAGAACAACATCTTATGGGTAGTACCTCCTCCTAGGGATGATTCATTACAATTCCATGACTCCCAGCCTGCTAAAATTGCCCAGTGAGGCTGTGGATGCCCTCTCCCTGGGAGCACTCCAGGCCAGGCTGCATGGGACTGTGAGCAACTTGGGCTATGGGAGGTGTCCCTGCCTACAGCAGGGGTTGGAACCAGGAGATCTGAAAGGTCCTTCCAACCCAAAGCATCCTATGCCTCTATGATTTAATATTTGAATAAACTAGAACATCCAGCCCCAGTTCAGGACTAAAACCATCCAGTGCCAGCGGTCAGAAAGTTCAAAGAAAACACAGCTGTTCATATCTAATAAGAGCAGCCCCTGCTGAGCACTGTAAGCTGTTGGACCCCAACGCTCATCTTATTTTACACTTCTCACACTGCTCACCCCAATCCTTGCTCCAGCCCTGCTCCTCACAGCAGACCTTTGCTGCCGCTTTGCTCTTTGCCGCTTCTCTCCATCTGCCTCCCCTCGCTTTACAAAGTAGTGCTATTGAAAAAAAAAAAAAAGAAAAAAAAGGGGGAAAAAAAGGATTTTCTCAAGCTAAAAAACACAACCACAGGGTTCGAGACCAGCAGCACGGCTCCTTGTGCTGCTGCAGCTACACGGACGGGTGGGTGGGAGCTGCGCTCCGGCTCCGGGCTGCCGGGAGATGGCGGCAGTGCCCCCCGCCCGGTGGCGGCACCGGGGAGCCACGGGGCTGGCTGTGTGCTGCGAGGACCCGGGCAACGAATCCTCTTCCTTATTCCCGAAGCACGACGATGAACGAGCACGGAAAAGCTGGGAGCGATTTCTTGCATGCCCAGTTACTTCTGAATTCCTCAATAATCACATTTGTTTGTGGCTTATTTGCTCTCCTTGAGAAATTGCAGCTTTACCCAAAGCCAAACGAGAAGAACTTTAATCCAAAAAGTTATAAAAAACTAGTGACCCACCACCTTCACTAATTTCCTTCAAAACACAGATATTGTGGACTGTTTCTTCTCTGACCACGTGCAAATCTCCAACTGTTCTGATCTCCAGTGCTGAGGTGGATGAGGTGAATATCAATATTTACCTCTACACGAAATGGGCATATGCTTTACCTACAAACTTCACAGGACAACAAGAATTAATGAAATCTTGGGTTCCTTGTTTCCAGGCACATTTTTCGTTTTGATTCCAATTTTATGAGCCTACACACCCTTTTACACATGAATACACACCCACTGCCTTCTTTTTATCCAGCTGTCACGACCCAGTGTTGCAAGACACTGACCTTTCATTGCATGCAAGCTCTGCTCTTACAGTGTGCTGCCTTTGTTGTTCTACCATCACAACCAGCATAAATCCCGTCTTCCTTCAAGTCCATCCTTAAAGGGTGAATTTTGCATCTTTCCCATAGGTTTGTAAGGTCTGTGCATGACAAACTGCAGAGGCTCCTGCAGGATGCAGATGAAGTGAATATTCTGGTTATGACAGCCCCACAATGTCTTTTCTAATGAGCCTCCCCTTGGGAACCACAGCCCCATTTAGACCTGTAGAGACTTGTCTTCAAGTGTGAGAATTTGAAACCTCGTAAAAAGAAAAAAATTAATCTAAAAATAATACCTCAAAAGTCATAGATGCAAAAGTAATGCAAAGTCAAGAGATGCAAAGCCTGCTGAAATTAAGCTATTATGCTGGGATAATTATCAATCCCTTCTGAAAATCTTTAAATGGATTATCAAGCAGGGCTGTTTTTCATCTTTTTATTGCTATCTTCAGTGATACTTTAATATCCTTCACTCGCCCTTAAATATCAAATAAAGGCGTTCTGATTTATGAGGATTAAAAATCTCTTCATTAATGGCATCGTGGGGGTTTCACAATGAATGTTGCTGCATGTTTCCCAGGAACAAAAAAACCCACCTCAGTCACAGTGCCGGGTGAGAGTCACCATTACCTTTCAGTCCTCAGACTGGGCGAACCAGCAGACTTCTTTAATGAGCAGGTGAATCGTGGGTCAAACCAATTAGCAGATAAGCTTCGATTTGAAAGGAAAGCGTTAAGGCTCTGGAGAAGCTGGAGATAAGGCTGCTTCTGTCAGTTACTGTGGGCTACCGGAGAGTTTTCATCACTAAGAGCACTGCGCTGAGATGGGGTGGAGAACACTGCCGTTTTCTCCCTCTGCCTGCTAACACAGGACGGGGTTCATTTGTACATCTAAACCAAGTGCATCTGCCAGGCCCATCACCACAGCCCTAAAGGGTCTGGTTATTATGGTAGTGGCAGGTTCCTGGTCAGGCAGACAGAGTAGGACTGAAAAAACAAGACAGTAACAGCTGGAAGCTTAGCAGAGATAACAGGAGCGCAGACAGAAACACAAAACTGGTCTCTACAGAGAGGCTCAAACTCTACGCTGTAGCAAAATGTCTGCTGAGCAGTGTTGTGCTTGCAGAATTCAAGTCATGCTTCCTCCCCAGGAGAGCACTCTTGACTCAAGGAGAAGAACCCCAAACTTCTGCAGCAGCTCACAAAATCCCACAGCATGATTTATGTGCTTTTGGGCTGTGTGATCCAGCTCATTACTTCTTAGGGAAGGTGCTTTGCCTTAATTACTTCCACAAACTGTGAAGTCGTTCAATGTATTTTTCTAGCCTGGTTTATATAAATTCTTTTGCCCAAGGGACTCTCATGTAGGTCTTTGCTCACTGTGTTTTTCTGAAAGTTTATTCTTGATTTATTCAGAAAAGCATCAATAAGGAAACTAAAAATATCTGCGAGGTAATTAGCAGGAGAGATTTGTTTGCAATAAACACAAGAACATGTTGTGTTTTGAAAACTACCTAGCGCACAGAGCAGCAACCCAAACCCAACCCTACCAAACCTGCCTGGAAACCAGAGCCACCAGCCTAGAACACAAGCAATTTCTGATCCTCGCAAAAAGAGGGACAGTGAAACAAAACAGCAGCCTAAAAACCCAGTGCAAAGCAGCTATATTCTGGTTCAGCAATTTCAGAGTCACGTTAAAAGGGATTGCACAGAAGAGTTGAATTACACTCAAGGGCTCTTAAAACCACATTACAAAGCTTTATTTTTCCTGTTGTGATCTGCAAAGACCTTGCATTATGCTCGAGTTTGGGTTTCAGCTTTTTCAAGGCTTCCGTACCGTTCTCTTCCCTGCACAAAGCAGTTTTTTGGTTTCACTGGACAGCGTGACTGTTAAGAGGAAAACACAACACCTGCTGCGTGGTTAAAATTGCACTTGTTCATTACCTGCACCTCCCGTGAAGGCAGTCCTGCTCCAGCATGCACAGCGTCCAACTTCCCTATAAAGTGACCGAGAACAGATTACAGAACATCCTGGATACTGACAACAAATAGTTGATATCTATTTATTCTCGAGTTAATCAGTAATTATTTCAAAATTGTTTTGATTACTTCTCTGTCCTTTGATCTTATCCTCCAGAGAAAGACCACGTTGTTCAGAATCACAGCCCATACATCATCATCCTGTGCCTGAGCACAGCCAGTGAAAGCACGAGCCCTCTGCAGGATTCATCTACATTTCCATTATTCACACTGCAACGAGGCTTCTTATGGATATATATACTGAAGTAGATTAGCATTGCTACCTTCCAGTTCTTTAGTAAGTCTTGAAGTATTTGTAAGGTATTTCTGGATATTCATATGTTCAAGAAATGCTTACATGTGATACTAGGGACATGGTTTAGTGGGGAGATATTGGTGACAGGTGGATGGTCGGACTGGGTGACCTTGGATGTCTTTTCCAACCTTGGTGATTCTTCATGATATTTCTTGGGTACAATGGGATTACAGTTTGTTATGCATATATTTTCAGCATCTGTAGGTTGGGAGAAAAGTTTGCAGTTGCGCACATGCAGAACAGTTTGAAAGAGAGGCAAATAAATTAATTATGGGAGTTCTGAACTTCTATAAACAATCTAAAGGCTTTTCCAACAGCTTTCCAAGAAATACAATTTAGATGGAGGATGGCTTTTGGGCACTGTCAGTAATAGTTCTGCAGTCAACATAACCTTCCTGTTTCCAAAGAGAGAAATATCTCCTCCACTCTCGGGCCTCTCGTAAATTTCCTGGTACTAAGGCAATAGAGTAAGGCATTGTAAAAATAGATGCAGTTTGTCCTCTAAATGTTTCACAAATGGAATTTAAAGTTTCATTGCTTGCCACAAAATCCTCTGACCTTTGTGACACACTGCAGTGCAATTTTGCTGTGGAAATTTCCATAGCCGTTCTGTGATACAGACAGGTGTTTTGTGGGAAGGCAAATCCCAAACTCTGGGATGTGTGGCAACAAAAAGCTTTCACTGACAGTACCACAGGCTCCATCTAAAGTCCAGTGCAGTCAACGAGGATCCTTCAGTAAGCTCCCACTCCTATGGATTCCCATGAGCTAGAGTGCAGCAATAGGGATGTATGCAATCCTTCTTGTTTCAGAGGGGAAAAGGCAGCATTTCCTCGTCCCTCATGTTGAACTGCTACCTTCACCAAACCCTCTTCCCAAAAAGCTTGGAGTCTATGCTCTCACTGACACCTCAGTTTTTTTTCCCTATAGTGCTACTCAGGCACATCGGCACACAGAATGCCGTGAGGGAGCTGGGATGCTACAAAATTACACTTGCTTCAGCGTTATTCACTGCTAGAGCTGCATTCAGAACTGCACACCTGCATCCTCAGCTCTCACAGTGGGAAATGCACAAGTGCTACCTCTACCTTCAACATCTTTTTCACTTTTTGTAATAGCAGCAGTTTGTGTTGCAAATTTTGCATGTCTCAAACTATTGCCATTTATTCCTGGTGCAGTGGCAATTTGCTCCAGTGCATGAATTAAAAGCCACGTCTGCATGCATTGCCCGTCACTCAGGTATCTGTCACTCCACCTGTAAATGAGGCCTGGAATTGTCACCAAGAGGTGTCACCACACGCACTGCAAAGAATATTTTCATGCTCTGAATAAGTAACAACCCGACTTATTTCTTGCTTAATGGAGATACCATGACCAGTTATCTCATCCCAATACGAACATGTCAGAGTTGAAGTGATGAACTGTTTTACTTTGAGGCATAACAAATAAAAAAGGAATGGCAAAGTATGAATTCCTGTGAACACATCATAGGTGGATATCAATGTACACACAGCATTTAATATTAGTTCATTTTTCAGGCTATTCTGTTGTATTTTTGGATCTCAAACGCACTGTCCAGAACAGATGCTCTCTTGGGAAGTTAATACAGCAGCAGAGTAGAACTGGTTGGAAACTAATGATGGTACAAATAATTTAGGTTGTTCAAAGCTTGCCTCTGTCTGCAATACAGTATAAGAAGCATCTCCTCCACAGAAAGCAAAAGACAATATTTAATAAAGTAGTATCTTAGGGCAATCTAAAGATACAGATCTCAATGCTCCATTCAGCAAACAGCTCATACGTTGAGCGGTGTTGGTGGCTTTCACAGATTTACCGGAGGATGCCATGTGCACGAATTGGAATGGGTGTTAGACCACTTGCAAGGAAAGGCCAAGGAAAGGACCAGAAAAAAAGTACAGAAAAACAAAAAGGCAGAAATTGTACGAGTGAATCAGCACAACCAATGCCAAGCAGAAGAGATACGGTATCATGAGTTGTCTCATGAGATTTCACAGCAGATATTCACAACATAGCAATGAAGAAGGAATTCGTGATGGAGCTAGTTTAATCTCCTTCAGAAAGCTTTTCTTACAAGGTATTACAAGTTCAGTGTCACAATGCTGCATTACAGCAGAAACTGAGTTGCTTTGTACAGTGGCACTGGCCATTAACACACTCTTGCAGCACAGTTGCAATTATGCAACTATTGGTCACTTCTGTGCAGCAGTCCCTTTCTCGAACTGAGATTTTTGGACTACTTCTACATCAGTTCCTTCCATACTTTAGAATGGGAAGTTGATATTTTTTATCCCCGCCCAGTGTTATAAATAATACAACATGCGTCAAAACCTTTCCTGCCTTCATTTTTTGTCTTTTATTTCCATTTTAGTCATGCTTAGATACTTCTAACTCCCTATCAGAAACTCATTATTCAACATAAAGTCATGTTAATGTCAATGAGCTTTAGATCGTATGTCTAGTATTAACAAATCAATCAGAAAACTGATTAATTTTACTCTGCTTTTTAAGTTAAATGTCAATTAATTTTTAGCTGACTGAAAAAAAATCAAAATATTTTGTCTAGTCTAATAAAGCATGCTCTTTTACAGAAAAACTCCCCAGTGAGACCCCAACACCAAATCTATAGACTTCATTGAAAACTTTGCCACTGACTTTAACGCACTTGTCCGAAGGCCACACAGCTTAGAGGAGCTGTGTTATAAATGGCCCTGGCCAGGGCTATCAGCTGATATAATTCAGATGAGAGAGAGGTTGCAGCTTGAGAAAACTGACCTTGTTTATGGGCAAAGCCTGAGAGGAACTGCCTTAAAAAAGGAAAATAGGAGTGCTTTGTGCCTCTGCCCTTGCTTCTCGCAGGAGAATGAATAGTGGATGTTGGTAAGAGGAAATTGGCTGGCCAAAACCCAACTAATTCCTTTTATTTTTCACGTCTTTGATGTACAATTTAAATGCAACTTCCTCCCCTTTTTGAAAGGCTCTAGGTCAACGTTTACACGTACGTGTTTCAAAACGCTGCGCAGATCTATTTCCTAGTTATATCTGAGGCCGGTGCGCGCAAACTGGTATGAGAAACTAACATCCTTCCAAAACTAATTTGAAAAGTCCAAGTGTTTTCTGCTCATTTCCCATGGTTGCTTAACACAAGACCTCCACTCACACCTATGTGGAACAGTCAGTGCAGAAAACATACTGTTTTGTGTTTGCTGTGATTGCCTTTACTGCCTCCCAATGCTAGTAGCCCTGTAAACAATATAACTGGGAAAAAAAACATCCTCATTACTCTTACTTTTCTTTGTCCAGCACCTTAAGGAATCAGATAATTTCCTTTGAAAATCAAGCTGATGCATTTTGCCTCATTTTTCCCCTCTTCTTTTTTTTAAAAGTCTGTTTTAAGTCGGGTTGAATTAGAATCAGAGAATCACCAAGTCTGGAAAAGACCTCCGAGATCATCCAGTCCAACCAACCAGCTACCATCAATATTTCCCCACTACATCATGTTCATGAACCCCCTCCAGGTATGGTGGCTCAACCCCCTCTGTAGGCAGGTTGGATTGATTTTGACACAACCTTTATCAGAGGCATAGGAAGTTGAGGGGCATTATCTACTGACCATGGATACCATACTATAACACAACAACACAGATGATATTCTTGATAATTCAGTGACACTACAGAGCTTAATGTTCAAACATTTGTTGCCAAAATTACTTACAACTAGAAATCCTGGTGGTGACAGTTACATCCCTAAGGGTATTTCACTGTGAATTTAAATCTCAAGTTGAAGAGCTGGATATATGACAAGCTATCACTTCATTACTGTGAAAATACAGTTTCTTACCAGTCATTTTAATACAGTACATAAGTTGCATTGACTTGCAAGGATTTCATCAGCAAGGAAATAGTTGTTCAGCCTCTTCTGTAAAGGTGCACAGCCTCTTCCTGTAAATACTGGAAACAGCTGAGTATTTATATCATCATTTCTTTCCCCTGATGTACTGGGTGTGCAATATCAATTCTTTCTAGTTCAGATCCACTACTTACCTGAGTTTCCTCGGCCCTTCCTGACCTTCGATTAGCAGCAGGGATGCATTAAAATAGTTCAGCTGCTTAAAAACGGCCAGAGTTATGCTTGTGGACCACTTCAGTCAGTTTCTTTCTCTTTCAGAAAGGAGGGAAAGGGAGAATCTAGCATACAGTTCAAGCACATTTGTTCTAGCAGTTAGCTGGTGCAATGAATTTTAAGCAAATTCATTGATGTGCATTTCAGGGTGGTGAAAGATGTTTTCTGTAGCTGCCTGCTGGAATATGGAAAAGGCCAGATTATCAATGAAGCAATTGGTAAAGCAATGGCTGACTTATTTCACGTTTCTTTTTCCCCATGAAAATTAGCTAGTTATGCCTATTATATGTTTTTAAAAGGAACTGCTTCTCACCTTCCCTTTGCTGGTGACTCATTCCAGAGATTGAAATACGGACATAGAACTTATTCTCTCCTCCTGGTGGAATATTTTCTATTGTTTAACCTTCCCTTTTGATATTTCCCTCTCTGGTATAACAGCCTTATTCTGATCTGCATTTTTCCTTATGCCAGAGTAAATGTCTGCCTTTCATAGCATTATAGAGTCATCAAGGTAGA